AATTCTGGCATATAGATTCTTATACTGTAGCAAGCAAAACTTTTGCGTCAATTTTGTCTTTAATCCAGGCTTATTTTTGTACTTCAGTAAATAAATGAATAAATAATAACAAAATAATAAATAAATAAATCCAGCTACTGGAATCTGTTCCACCACCCCATGGTAAGAGATGTTTTTGTAGTGGCTTAAAAGTATGTGGATGAATCTTAACCAGCATCAGTTTGATAAATATTAGAAACTGCTTGTATAAGAAACATGGGAGGAACAAAATCCAATGGCTAGCAATCCAGCTGCCAAAATCCTTTCCCCCACCCCATGCAGAGACATGTTGATGCAGTGGCTTAAAAGTTGTTGATTCTGTTTTGTATGGGGATGAATCCTGACCAGGTTTAATAAATATTTTTATGTCTCCTTTTACAAGAAACATGGAGGAAATCATGAAATCTGATGATGAAAAAATTATTTAGGTTTATGCTTTACACACACGCACCAAAAAACAATGGTAATAAAATGAAATTGTTAAAAGTATTAAAGGGATGCTGCTAAAAAGAACATTATTTTGTGTTCATGAAACTCTATTAGCACAGCAGTTCACTCTGACTGTTGGAATATACAGGGTGGTGCATGGGACCATTCAGTGATACTCTTGTGTCTTTTTTTTTAAGCTTGATGTTGGTCACTATTCACTGACATTATAAGGACAAGCGCAAACAGGACATTTTTTTATGTCTCCTTTTGTTGTTCCGAAAATAAAGTATGGTATATGGCCATGGAACAACACCATGGTGAGTAAATGATAAATGAATGGGTGAACTACCCCTTCAACTAAAAAATAAGACAAAAATACTCATTAAGAACAGTATTGCAATGCAGATAATTACATAAGTAACATACCTTCTCCGGTCTAAAGCTTTTAGCCCCTCCTCTCTGTCTTTGTCTTTCCATCTCTCTTTTATTACCTCTCTTGTTCTCTCACTCTGGGCTTTAGTTACAGAGCTGCTTTGATTCCAAGACTTTTAATCATCAGTGAATCTGGAGCACACGGCATTTCAGCCCTGATCCATCCTTCCTTATATCCTCCTTTCTCACTCTTTATTCCTCTCATCTCTTCACTTCTTAAGTTCAGTACAGTTAAGATGCAGACCTGCCATTGGAGTAGATACACGCTCTTCCTCTCACCTACAAAGGCTGACAGTTGAAATGGGTCTGTTTTAGGCAATGATCCCTGCGTGGAACCAAGTCGGTGTGATATGTCTGAGAAGAGTATACAGGGGCATGTTTGGAGCAATCTGCGCTCTTTTAGAGTCTCCTGGGCACAGCGCTGACGTGTCCCCAACACCCTTTGAATTATGGGTCGTGTTTGAAGTGTCAAGCCAGATCCCTGACATCATATGATTAATATAAACCCTCTCCCTTCTGCACACACAAACCTCCCCTCCCTCACACACACACATTCTCATATCTCTCATTCTTTGAAGTCGGTACTGAGAGGTGGTGGATGATTTTTAGGGCAAGTGTTGAACCAGTCTGATCTCCTCAGGCTCGAATGGTCTATGAAAGCCATGGACTGAAGTCGTCCCATCTACCTTCCACGTCAGCGATTGCAGCATGAAAGTGTTTTTTTTTGCACCTTAACAAGTGAATGCGGTGGGTGTCCGTCTCAGTCAGACCGCCTGAACTCTGACCCCCTACTTGGAGGACGTTGTTGCAGACAAACCCGACCTCGCTTGGCCCCGTCTTCTGCAGTTTTCCTAACAAAGATGCTTGCTCAACAGGGCTCGGATCCAATAATGAATACTAATGTTGATATCATTATATGCTGGATGCCATATTCTGTCTGCGCTCGACAGCAGGGTGAGTAATGTGCATCGTAGCTTAACTCCTGCATTCATTACCATGTGATCAGCCTCTGTCCCCACTCATGCAATGTGTTAGGTAGTCTTTGATGTATTCTGATCCATTCCTTAATTAGGGGTCCCCCCTCTTCCATCCATCCATGCAAACTCGGTCAAGTCCAAACACCCCAGTGGGCTTTAATAATTAATGTGGCTGTTTACGTGCCGATCTTTTGTGTCTGCTTCCTATAGTAAAGCCTTTGATGAGTAGATAACGCTTTCTGGTTCTCAAACTGACTTTTCCTTCTTCTATCTGTCTCTCTCACATCATCTCTTTTTCTTGAGGAGTGTATTTATATAACTAAGGTGTCAAGCCAGATCCCTGACATCGAATGATTAATATAAACCCTATCCCTTCTTCAGACACAAACCTCTCCTCCCTCACACACACACACATTATTAAAGAGAAATCTGGGATCTCATCTCTCTGTTTCTTCTTCTTGGTGGGGTGCCATTAGTAATACATTGGAGGGAGGCCTTGAAGAATCGAAAGCGACAGGGCAGAAAAAGAATAGATGAGTGAAGGAGGATGATGAAAACAGGGGGCCTAGGTTGTTGGGGCTGCACTGAATCAGAGGAAACAGGAATCTTTTGAGTTGAATTGAAGAGAGAATTTGAGAATATACATAGTAGATCAGACAAAGAACATCTCGAGACGAGTAGAAGAATGTTGGAGAGGAAAAAAGGGCAGTAAGATGGAAATCGGTTGATGTTTAGATCAGTAGTTCTCAACCTTTTTGACTTAAAGGCCCGCACTGTCTACTACAGCATTGAAATGACCCCTGTATAATATAACATTAATATTAATTATTTTTTATAATAACATATTGATTTAAATTATTTTAATTCATCCTGCAGTCCCCTAGTGGGCCTTGGCCCCCTTGGTTGAAATCCACTGGTTTCGATCATGAGGAAGGGTGAGATTGGTGTGAGGGGTGTGATAAAGGCCTAAATGAAGTATGCTAATGAAGAATTTAAATTATGAATGATATTACGAGGTTTCTCCAGACCTGACCATGCTATTTCACACACTTACACACTCGCTCTCAAAATATAAGACAATCCTTCTTTGAAATCCACTGGTTTCGATCATGAGGAAGGGTGAGATTGGTGTGAGGGGTGTGATAAAGGCCTAAATGAAGTATGCTAATGAAGAATTTAAATTATGAATGATATTACGAGGTTTCTCCAGACCTGACCATGCTACTTCACACACTTACACACTCGCTATCAAAATATAAGACAATCCTTATTTTTATGTTTCTGTAATCCTCAGACATCACACAAATCCTTATTTCTTCCTCTCTGAGCCTACTCATCTATCTGTGATGCTGTTTGCCTGCACTTCAACAAACATGTGAAATCCATAAACAACAGCATCCGTAGAAGCAGCCAGTGTACACCGTTTCTCCATAATTTTGTTATAGCACTGAATCATTATTAAAATCCTTTGTGAATTTTCTTAGCTCTGTAAAGCAGTGGTCTCAAACTCAATTCCTGGAGGGCCACAGCTCTGCAGAGTTTAGCTCCAATCAGCTCCAACTCACACCTGCTTGGAAGTTTCTAATAATCCTGAAGGACTTGATTAGCTGTATCAGGTCGATTTGATTAGGGTTGGAGCTGTGGCCCTTCAGGAATTGAGTTTGAGACCACTGCTGTAAAGCCTGATGTATGAAATGATAGTCAGGAAATCTATTTTTTAAAAGGAATGGAAAGGTTTGTTGAACCTTTAGATTTACAAAAATGTTTTTTTGAGTATCAGGCTTTTACAGCTCATATAGTATGATATAGGAGCTCATTCTCAAGGAGGAAAAAACACCTCAATTTTGGGCCCAGACTGAGCAAAAGTATGCAATTTGGTGCAGTTGCAGATATTAATATAGCCCAAAGGTAAGATAAAGTTCTTGTAATGTAGATCAATGAGAATTTTATAACATTATAGCAGACTACTTACATACAATTCATATATATCAGTTGTCACTTTATATCTCCCAATAATATGATATTTAAATTTAGATGATATTTAAGTTAGGTGATATTTAAATTATTAGTTTATTGTCAAAGCTCTTTAGTTTTTATTGTTGGGGCAAAACATAATGCAATACAATAATGACGGAGAGATGTACAAATGAATGTTCTGCAAAAGCCTGATGTATCTGATGTATGTCACGGAATGTGGCTAATCAGAGCTCATAATGACGAAATGACAAACAAAACAGTCTTTAATCCAACGTACACAAGAAATACAGAGAAACAGGTTTGCAACACATCCAAAACACGACATTCAGACAGGACACTGAACTCAGGAAACATCTGACTATAAATATTAAAAGGCTAATTAATAGACAACAGGTGAACTGAATACGATAATCACACGCACACACTGGGAAACTAGGTCAAGACAAAAATGAAGACAAAAATCAATACTTAGAACATATATGTGACAATGTAAAACTGCATACTGACATTTTAACATGATTTTTCTAAAAACTTGTGTATGCATAATTTAGTAAATCTAAGTTGTTTAGTCCAGTAAGTGTTCATCTTAAAATATTACTAATAATATAAAAGTTATTCTTACTTTTGCTTTATAAAAATCAGTAAAATTTTCACAGCAAAAAGCTACATGTACCATGACCTAAAGGGGGCCTTTTACTTGTTAAAAAATGATAAACTATCAATCAGACAACAGAAGACATGTAGAAGATTGTGTACAACAGGTTTTTCAGTGACGTATTCATCATGTTATATCTTAAGAGACCTTAGAAATTAGCATTTCAAATATGATACAGTAGGCTTTATACTGTAGGATAAAAATACATTTGTGCTGCGTAATTCACATTTCAACAAACAAGAGCCCAGTTGTGCTGTAGTATTATCTTTATCTTTATGAGTAAAGAGTTCAGAAGACAAAATGCTGTAATGTTAAAGTTCCTAAGAAACTGCTTGATGACTTATATAATGTCTACTGTCCTTTTAGGTTCAGTTGAACAGGCTGTTCTCCAGAGAAACCTAAACCATAATTTCTTTGAACATTGTCTTGCACTTTCTACTTAATCTTGCACTTTTATTTATTGAGCTTTCATCCTCTCTTTTGTCTCTCAGGTTTTGGCAACATGGCGGCTGTACCTCATGGCCCCCAAGATACCAACCAAGGTACGGTAAGCAATTACGCACCACCTGTCTGCTTCGTCTCAAAGCGCTGCAGTAATCTGGTTTAGCATGACTTATGTAGCAAGATGCTCATTTTCACCTCAGGTGGAACAAACGTTCAACTTCCTGGAGATTCGGGCAATGAACACCCACCCGGATAATCAAGTAGGAAAAGCGTTTACAGGGCTCCAGTGTTTTAGCTTTTGTGGCCAGATTTTTCTTTCACTTGTTCTCTCCATCTTTTTGCTTCACTAAAGCGTGTTCTTTACTTCACAGGTTGTCATAGAAACAGACAAGTCCACATATTCCCTGAGGCTGCAGTCTAATGACCACCTAGATCAGCTGATTAGCCACATCAACTTTGCTCTCTCTCGGATCTTCAACAACTCCATCTATACGTAAGTATCCCAAGAACCCCATAGGTTTACTGTGGTCCCGCATAGCATGAATTTGACTGAACAGCATAATGGTCCACATTGCAGCTTATTCTGGTGAAGAACTGCCCACTCAGACAGGAGTAAACTGTCTGACTGACACAAAAAGCAACCAATCACAATTTGCTTTGTATTTGCATTGCATTTAGGGGCAGGTTTGTTTAAAATAGATTATATCACAATAATAGGCTGCTGTTGAAAGAATTACTGAAGTAATTGTGTAGCAGTTTTTGAGTAGAGATGTTTAAATTCCAAATAAGTACTTTATATTATATTATATTATATTATATTATATTATATCATTATAGACATAAAACAAGCAACAATACAAACTCACATGGTCTAATGTTTGCAATACAATTTTTTTTAACTCTTTAACAATAACAAAGTCTTTACTTTTGTTAAGAAACCTCACATAATATGCATAAAATTCCAATACTCCCGTTTATAAGTACATGATATGATGAAATCTTTGGTAAATGAATAGTTCACCCAAAAATGATTACTCACCCTCCTCTTGTTCCAAACCTGTGTGAGTTTCTTTCTTCTGCTGCACACAACAAGATATTTTGAATAATGTGGGTAACCTAATGCTGCCTATAGGATTCGGTATCTGCTAGAGCAGCAGGGGTGTGAGGTACTGCTGAGCAGTTAATTGAGAGATTTTCTCATATTCAGACAGGAGGAGATTAGTGCAATGCATAATAGCGCGCTTTTTCTGTCTCATTGTTCAACTCTCTCGCTCTCTTTCCTGTTTCAGCTCTTTGGCCAGGTGTTCACATGCTGGGTCAGAATAACTGAGATTCTGATGCATTGTGAATCCCCCTCTATCCCCTCCCTCTTCTTTTTCAGCCCCTCCATCTTTCATGCAGATGGAGATGTTACTGACGGAAATCTGAAATTTTCTCCCAGCTCTGAGAGTTCGGTGGAAACGCAAAGGGCATGTGGTGAGAGAAATATAAGTACATATAGTTCATGCATCCACACAGTCTCATAAATATTTTTTTTTATACACCAGATATTAATCTCTCTAATCTCTTTACCTCCCCTCACACCTCTGTCGTCGTTTTATAGAATATTTTCAATGTATGCACGTAATTTATGCCATGAACTTGGTTTTGGTGTGCTTTGCTATGACAAATTATATAACAATATTTGTTTTGCCACAGCAGCTGCAGCTGTAGACAGTGAAGGACAGAATAAATACACTGTGCCAAATAAATTAAGTGCAGATGGAGATGTTACTGACGGAAATCTGAAATTTTCTCCCAGCTCTGAGAGTTCGGTGGAAACGCAAAGGGCATGTGGTGAGAGAAATATAAGTACATATAGTTCATGCATCCACACAGTCTCATAAATATTTTTTTTTATACACCAGATATTAATCTCTCTAATCTCTTTACCTCCCCTCACACCTCTGTCGTCGTCTTATAGAATATTTTCAATGTATGCACTTAATTTATGCCATGAACTCAGTTTTGGTGTGCTTTGCTATGACAAATTATATAACAATATTTATTTTGCCACAGCAGCTGCAGCTGTAGACAGTGAAGGACAGAATAAATACACTGTGCCAAATACATAAATTAAGAAAACAACAAAAAGAATAATACAAAAGATCAAGTAAAAATGATAAAAGTAAAATAAAATCATAATAGCAACCAGTGATAGTGAGTATAAGAAAGACTATGCAAATTAGTCTGTGCCCTTCATATGGTGACAGGGAGAGATGCAGTGTGCTAATGCACAGAAGTCTTTGTGTTTGACTTGTTTTATATGTTTAAAGATGAGAAACAAAACAGTCTTGATGTCATAGGAGAACACTTTAAATCTCTTTTTGTTTTTTGAAGACAGCACATAAATATCCCTACTTCCTGGCAGATATTAGTAAAATAGTGTCATAGGTGTCATATTGACTGTGGTCCACGTGTGTTATCCAATCAAAAAACTATCCAATCAAAAACATCTAGCTCTCTCCTAACTACCTGATGATCTGAATCAGGTGTGTTAAATAAGGAAGACATCCAAAATGTGCTGATCAGTGGGTCCCCAACATTAGAGTTGAGAATTACTGTTGTAAATTGTTATTGCAACAAGAGTCTTAAAGGAATAGTTCACCCAAAAATGATAATTTGCTGACAATTTACTCACCCCCAGGCCATCCAAGATGTAGATGAGTTTGTTTCTTCGTTGGAGCAGAATTGGAGAAATTCAGCATTACATCACTTGCTCACCAATGGAACCTCTGCAGTGAATGGTTGCCGTCAGAATGAGAGTCCAAACAGCTAATAAAAGCATCACAAAAACCCACATAATTGACACTGCTCCAGTTCATCAGTTAACTGTAATAAACAAACCCACATAAACAGTCCAAAACAGTTCTAAACAAATATGTTGGTGGATTTTGATGTGAGAAGACAACAGGGGATTAACTTTTACACTGGAGGAAGTATGGAATATGGACTGGTATTTTGGCCAGAAGTTGAAAAGTTGTGTCGATTACTTCTGGATTATTGTGATGTTTTTATCAGCTGTTTGGACTCTCATTCTGGTGGCATCCATTCACTGCAGGGGATCCATTGGTGAGCGAGTGATGTAAATTTCTCCAATTATAATTGGTTCAGATGAAGAAGCAAACTCATCTATATCTTGGTTGGCCTGAGGTCATTTTTGGAAGAACTATTCCTTTAAAATCCACAAGTAACTTTATATTCTTTAATTTTTAGAAATAAATGTATTTACTAGTATTTTAAAGAAACAGAAATCAATGAAGAACTTATTCATTCTAGTTAAGAATATGGAAAAAAAAATGGTATAGCCAACTCAAGAACACTGTAGTGTGCAGCGAAAATAGATCTTGATAAGAATAGAGTTCTTGGCTTTAAGTGCTCTAAAATCGTAGGTAGGACAGTTTTTGATTGTTAGGCACATAATCTCCCTTTCTCTTTCTCCCTTTTCAGGGGGCTTTTCTGAGACATATGCAGCTCTGTGTGATTACAATAGGATCACCTGTAAAGAGGAAGTGCAGTGGGTAAGAGCTTCCTATTGACCACAAAAATATCCTCAGCAAGTGAAGAGCCCAATTTCTGTATGTCACTGCTTTTATTGCACTCTAAATGTGTTTTCTTCCTCTTTTTGAGTCTCTCTCTCTCTTCCTCTCTTTTGCTCTTTCAGGATGTGGATACCATCTATCATTCGCAGGACAACAGGGAGTTTAACCTGTTGGACTTCAGTCACCTGGAAAGCGGGTAGCCACAAATTTACATCTCATCTGTACATATCTGTTCTGTATCTGCAACCTCTAATTGCTAGCCTTCAGTTCCATTGCTATCGCTACATCCCACAGATTGGTGGTTTAAAAGCTTCTTCATTTTGGACGCATTAATCTAATGATAACTCTTTGCTTCGTTAATTGCTTCATATTGACAGGGATTTGAATGATAATTGACACAGGCAATCTGATGTCAGCCACTGCTTTTAATGTGTGCTGAACTGCCACAGTAATAATATATTTCGCCTCTTTCCTGTGGCGTCCCTGCTGACTTCCTGCCCGGTTTGAGTCATGCTGTGTCTTTTTACATCCGTCCAATGGGTGTCAGGTTCCTTAACTGATTCCAGATCAGATTCTGTATTTTCTGCTGATGCTGGTCTGTGTTTGAAGTATGAAGGCTGGTTCTTAACTCTCTTCCTGTTGAAACAGGATTACATGTATATACAGAATATGAGCTGTGAAAATTGACGTCAACTCTGCATACTCAGCTACACAACCCTGCCACCTTTAACACATAAAAAAGGAAATGCACTTAAAATGTATACTCTGACTCTGAGAAATGATACGGTTCATTGAGCACTTTGCTCAAGGCAAGTTCCAGTTATCTGCAGAAATTTGAAGGCTGGTTCTTAACTCTCTTCCTGTTGAAACAGGATTACATGTATATACAGAATATGAGCTGTGAAAATTGACGTCAACTCTGCATACTCAGCTACACAACCCTGCCACCTTTAACACATAAAAAAGGAAATGCACTTAAAATGTATACTCTGACTCTGAGAAATGATACGGTTCATTGAGCACTTTGCTCAAAGCAAGTTCCAGTTATCTGCAGAAATTTTTTTTTTTCAGCAGTCGCATGATGAAACTTATGGGAGTGCGGCCACTTAAAGATCATTTTTGAATTTTAAAAAGAGCTTTTGCCTGACAAGACAAAGTGCTTGTCATTTTAGATATACAGTTTTGAGCGGTTTTATTGAGTCTCTTTCAGACGATCGGTGTAATGTAGCAAAGGCTTTTGAGTTCAATCATTGACCACATTAACATGCATGTGAAAATTCTGATTGGAATTTGCCTATATTTCAAATGCATCACGTAAACATTTTAATCAAAGTTGATTAAGCCAATATACTAGTTTCTAGAAATCTGAATAAGGCAGATGACATATTCTTTTTAAAAAAAAATATTTTATTAATCTATCTTTCTTGGGAAAAAACGGGAAACTTTTCAGACGCGCACGCCAACTTCGCCTCAGCACCAGGCGCTATTAAAACGAGCACGGAAACAGTACAGGTGATGAGGGAGCTTCAGTAGAACAACAGTGAACTGCGGTCAGATGAGATGTTGTCAGGCCATATGTTAGTAAAAACGAATGTTCCTGTCCATTCTTCCGTTATACTGTGCTCGTAGCACGTGCTCTTTAATTGCACGCACAAATGCAGCGCATTGTATATAATTCCAAATTAAAGCGCAAATGAAACTACGAGCATGCAGTGTCGTAGTTAT